GATAGATAGATAGATAGATAGATAGATAGATAGATAGATAGATAGATCGATCAAGGTTCTTCAAACTTGCAAAGTTTAAGACTTGTGGACTTCAACTCCCAAAATTCCTAAGCTAACTTGACTGGAGGAGGAATTCTGGGAGTTGAAGTCCACAAGTCTTAAAGCTGTCAAGTTTGAGGACCCCTGCTCTAAAGGAAGAGAACTCTCAACCAGTCTTGAAGTCTGCATTTTATTCAGGCCCATGTCAGCATTCTGAACTCATGGTTGGCACGGAGGTCCCAGACAAGCTACATTTTTCAACCTCCGCCTGGAATGGGATACATTCTCTGGTTTCACTGAGTGATATAACATGTTTTTCTTTCAAGATTCAACCCACCTCCCCAAAATAAGAACTTGGATGAAACAAATTATGTTAAGCACAAAGGACATTTGAGAACTGAAGAGGCTTTAATCCTCTGGTTTTTCAATTAGCAGACGGATGCATCACAGTCATCCATAAACAGTATGAAAAAAGTAATTTCTTGAAGACACACCTGGGAAATGGATGTGTAATTGAGGTTTGTACATTAAACGAAATAATGCAATTTAATTACTACTGCTATTTAAGGCCAACAAGAAGAGGAGACGAGGAAAATGAATTATTTGAGATCTCTTCTCTTTTGAAGACAACGCTTACTGTTTTGGAGAAACCAAAGTTAGACCGAGCACTTAAGCAGATAGCCCAAGACAAATACATTCAAACTTCTTTATACCTTCTACTGCCCTCACTTAAAAGTTAGTAAAGAGAGCGAGAGAGAATTCAGAATAAGATAGGATAAATACAGGTAGTCCTCAATTTACAACAGTTCCTTTAATGACTGTTCAAAGTTACATCACTGACAAAAATGACTTATGCTCATCTTTCACACAACCCTTGAATCATTCCCACAATCACACGATCAAAATTCTGGCAGTTGGCGACTGACTCATATTTACGACGGTTGCCGATAACTTTCTTTCCCGGAAGCATCCTAAACATTGGCCTGTGTGACAGGGTAGGAAGAGAGTGAATCTGTTCAGCAGAGAAGAAGAATCGAGCAACACCAGCCCCACAGTGGAAAAACATATTTATTGCCTATCAATTAAGCACCAAGGTAGACCTGTCCTCTTGAGCCTCCAGATCCAGAAGGTTCACTAGATTAGCCGTGGATTTCAGGCTCAGGGGATTCCCGATTTAAGCCCCACAATCTCTGCCAGAGGGGCATCACAGATCACTATCCCAGGAATCTCTCTTCAATCAGCCGTCTACATGGAGCAGAGGCTACATGTGATACCTTTTCTACCTGTCGATTTCTGAAGGCAAGCAGGAACAATCTGTCCTTGGCTTCATGTCATCCTAGAGCATGTTATTTCTATAGCAGGGGTCTCCAACCTTGGCAACTTCAAGGCTTGTGGACTTCAACTCCCAGAATTCCCCAGCCAGCTTTGTTCTATAGCACTTTCCAGCCCGATGATGGTGTTTCAGAGACGGAAACAGTTTCCTCAGACCATTTTGTTAGAGGGTGGGGTTAGTAAGTGCCATACTACAGCGAATAATCTCCCCAGACCTTTATGGATAAAGAACCTTGGCCTACCTTGACTTCATTTTGAGGGCCCCATGTTTTTAGACACACACACACACACACACGCAGGCAGAAGAGCTGGGCTTTCTATTATTCCTTTTTACTTATTTTACAGGCGACTGAGGGGAGTTGCTGCCTTTGTCACAGGGCATGTGTAGAAATCCTCTTTGTGTGCCTTTTTTTATTACATCCCTTTTCAGCTGTCTGTCTGTCTGTCCATTCCTCCGTCCATCCATTTCCTCCCTTTTCTCTCAACGTTCAACGTGGGGGCGTGTCTCCTCTCATTTTATCCTCCAAAAATAGGATGGCATCGAGGTCTACCAGGATGCTCCAGGGCTTAAAAGAAGCTGCTCTTGAGTTTGGGGAGGGTGGGGAGATTGGGGAATTTAAGTCCAAGATCTTAATCGTAAATTTCTATGCCACTTGTTATTTCCACGTATCAATCAGATCTTCCTTCCTTGGCAATCTGTGTTAGAATGGGTGCCCCCTTCCAGCTGTATCAATTCACACTAAAACGTTAAGACTTACAAATACCAAATTATCCCATTCCTATGTTCTTTTTAATGAAGAAGTCAAAGCTGAGGAGCCCGCCCCATGTTTTCATTTAAACCAAAGCATCTTCATATTATTTACTTACTGCCATATATGCATTCGTCCCGACGTAGGTCTTTGCTATGGAATTCACCAGCTGTCAGGCAAAACAACTTGTTAGGGCCACGTAAAGCGCAAATAAAGCAGGTAATTATTCCTCATTTAACACTAATTATCCTACGTACAAATCAGAGGAAGAAGAAAAAGTAAAGTGGGGAGTGGACAAATTTGCCAGCAAAGGCAGTAAAACCCACCCACCCTCCTGGCTTCCTTCAAATGAGAGCCCTCTTTTAAAATATCCATCATATTTCAATTTACAGGCGAGAACAAAGGCAACTCCAGAGCCTGAAGGAGGAGGCTTGGAGTATTTAGTATCCTACCAAGCAGCTGGACCCGTCTATTGGAAAAGGGTGTGTGTGTGTGCCTGTGTGTGTGTGTGTATGAAATCCAGCACATTCTCCTCCTCCTGTCAGCTGGGCCCAAGATGTGAATAAAGCCACCTTGATTATCAGGCTGGAATGAACACTAAATATGCTGAGGGACAACGGATTCTGACAACACATAATGCAGCCGTGACCTCCTCTTTGGTCCTCATGTTTGGCTGGTAGGAAAGGTGGCTGCAATTCAATTCAACATCGCGGCGAGCGTGAGGGTCAGTTTCACGCCAGATTCTCAGGGGAAGCCCCAAATGGAAATTAATTAAAATTTGTGCTGCACATTGTTAAAGCCCACCACCATTGTTGATCCCAATATTAATTTTTACCATGGGCCAGTCGGCCTCCCCAAGCGCCTCTTTCGCTCTGCCCTTCCTTTTGTTTGGTCCGAGCGCTTTCAGAGCCAAGCTGCATATCAATGAAGTTGGCTATTTGTAAGTAGTAATTACAATATCAGCAGTTTTTACTGTCATTAAACAATGAACAATCATATTCTGATGAAGAAAAGTCGCAGGAGATTAAAAAGGAGGGATTGTTATGTCCCCAGCAAGAGGAAGCTCTTGAGAGCGGAGTCTGTTTGTCTCCCCGCCGGTTTGGGAAGCAGAATTAAGCGGAGAGGATCAACCAAGGAGTGCAGGAACATACCTGGGTGCTGACTCCAAAGTCACATAACTTGACCTGGCCTCTTGTGTTCACCAACATATTAGAGGGCTTCACGTCTGTGTTGGGAAGAGAGACAACAAAGGCAGGATAAATCCAGAGAGCGTTGATTTAATAGCAAATACCAGCTGATGGCCAGCTGAAAGAAATATGGGTCTGTGCAAAAATGTAATTTGAGAAAACATCTCAGGCTTGACCCTCCATAGCTCTCAGAATGATAGAGAAGCACATTCAGTCTTGTAACGTTCTCTTACTATGGACTTATCCTAAAAATAATATTAGCTTGCGTGGTTTCCTTGCTTGGCCTACTATGGAGGACTGATACAAAGCCCAAAGGAAGGACAGAGGCCAAGGGTGGTCCATTGGGAAGCTGAGGTAGGTAAGGTCCTGCAAGCCAGGAGGACATCAACTCACCTAGAATAAGAATCTCCTAAAGAAACCCAGAAGGAGACAATGACGAAGTATGGCTATAAGATGTAAGCAATATGTAGGCACATCGAAAGGCACTCTTCTAATTACCAGAGAAAAATGCAGAACTTTTGTGAAATTGGAAGGGGGGACCTGTCAGCCTCGGAAGTCATATTTTACTTGGAAGCTTCGAGGCTGCCACATTCAGTGCCTGGGAATTTGGGAGGGGGGAATTTCATAAAGAGGTAGAAGATTAGACACAACAACTTTTTCTCAGAGAGTCAAGGACATATTGCCCTGCACCTGGAGGGGAGTGACTGGAGGAAGGTCTCCAGTTTGGATGACATTTGATTGGGCCCTGTGATGGACTGCTGGGTGCAAGGGAGGGATTTTTGATTTTCTTTTGGGAAGGGAAAACCTGGAACTTTCAGATTTGATTTTCCCAGATGTGCCAATACGACAACTCTAATAAAATGGAACTTTTGAGAAAATGCTGGTCTCGGAGTTTATTGGTTTGGAGGTGGTTAGTTAGAACGCCGACATGGAGATGATGATGTGGTCCAGTCAAAGCTGCAAAGACGCCTGGTCATTGATGGCGTCTGAACTGAAGGAAGACATCCTGGCTTGACCCAGTTGGAATGAGGAATCTGAGAAGCATGAACTTTTTGAGAGCTCGGAATGGTCAAAGTGGAAATGAAATGTACCAAGTTGGGTATTTTAGGAATAAATGGACTGGAATGGGCCATTTAAAGTCAGATGACTGCAAGATATACTATTCAGGGCACGAGTCCGCGGAAAGGAACGAAACGGCGATGAAACTGAAAGAGTTTCAGCAAATATGTGTTCATCTATAATCCAATAAACAACAAGAACATATTTCCCCGAATTAGTGGTTATCAATGAACATCTATGTTATACAAATCTATGCCCCTTCAAAATGAAGGAAGACCCCGAGCAATTCCGTGGCAAATTAGAGGAGGCGTTAGAGGCAACATCAGGAAGGGAGGCAATTCTACTAATGGGTAATTGGAATGCATCAACTGGAGGAATGAAGAAACCTATAATTACAGGGAGAAATCAATTTAGTAAATACAATTACGTGGAAAGTGGGTTAATAATTTTGAAAAAAAAAGAAGAATTATTTATTGCTGCAAACACCTGCTTCAAATACTATAAACAGAGATGCCATAGCTGGATATGATCAGAAGGATGTCATCAGAATGGAACCGATGACAGAACAGGAAACGGAAGGGAATCCAGCCAGCTGAAATCTGATCCAGTGAGATTGTGGAGCAGACCTGGAATTTTTGGTGTGAAATACAGATAGTTCTGCAACTGAGGACCACCGTGGAGCCCAAATTTTCTGCTGCTAAGTGAGACATACGTTAAGTGAGTTTTGCCCCATTTTACAACCTTCCTTGCCACAGTCATTAAGTGAATCACTGCACTCTTAAGTTAGTCACACGGTTGTTAAGTGAATCTGGCTCCCCCGTCGACTTCGCTTGTCAGAAGGTCACAAAAGTTGATCACCTGATCCCGGGACACCGCAAGCGTCATAAAGGTGAGATAGTGGCCAAATGGGTGAATTTTGATCACGTGACCATGGGGACATTGCAACGGTTGTAAGTGTCGTAGGCCACTGTTTCATTGCCACTGTAACTTCGAGCCTTCACTAAATGAACTGTTCTAAGTCAAGGACTACCTGTATAACAATTAACTTGAAAAATTTGAGAGGCTAATAAATATGTCAGTGAAGGATGGTTTGAGTGAGATGGATGAAAGGGAGTGTTCAACCTGCTTAAAAAGAGGAACCAGAGGTTATAGGAGACCAGTCATAGAAAATTGGAGGCTGAGGGGAAAAAATCTCCCAGCCTTTAAAAGAAGAGGAGGCCCAAAGAGCTTTCAGAATAATCCAGGGAAAAGCAAAAGATGAAACGGTTGGTAACAAGAAATACGTAGGATCCCTTAACTCAGCTTTCCAACACCTGAGAAAAGAAGGCCAGGAAAGAGCTCACAATCAATATTTCTTAAACGTCGAACAAAAATGTACAGATACAGTGTGGATATTTGAGATGCCACTTTGAGCTCTTGGAGGAAATGTGGAATATAAATCTAAAAATGAGTAAAATAAGCTTTATGGAAGGAGAAAACCTCGCCTTGCCTTCTCCTTCTGAGCTATTTTTACCAGACAATGAAATAAATGGAGCATTGGCGGTTTTGTTTTCCTTGCCGTTATTTGAATATGATTCAAGGCATCTATTACAAAAACATACCGAGACTGCTTTATTTAGAAAACGCAATGTATTCTCCTCAAAATCACCTTTTTTTAAAAAAAAAAACAGGCTCTCTTCATTTTGTACGTATAAGGAGGGGCCTGCAAAGCATTTCACCCCGAACCGTCTCAAGCGTGAAACATCCTGCCTTCAGCAGCCTGGAAGTGTTTTGAGCTGAAAAGCCGTGGCATTTCCTGGACGTTTCGCGTTTGAAACAACTCAAAATGAAATGTTTTGCACACCCCACCAGCACAGTACCCAAATATCAGAGTTGGAGAAACCTGTACGATACAATCCCCAGTGAGAAATGCAAATTACCAAAAGCTCATTATAACTGGCTGCACGAGGGGGGTTTTTTTTAGCCTTTCCCCAGGCTGTCAAGAGCCCTGGACTCTGCTTTTTCTAGAGAGATGCTCAAATGCAAGGCAAATATAATCCCTTGCACAAGTTAGATCGCTCTCTCTCTCTCTCCTTGGCAAAACGTTCTACCCCGAATGTTTTTCACTTCCATGGTGCCCAAATCGACATGTTTTAGCAGCTGAGGGAAGAAGTACGGGTTCCCTATGAAAAAGCAACCCTTAGCAAAAAAAGATCTGTTCCCTCATACACTGGACCAGGGTCTCCAACTCCTGGTCCACGGACCGACACCGGGCCACGGCATGCCAGCAACTGAGCCCACAAACAAGCAAAACTCCATCCGTGGGATGCAGGCAGCACCACAAAACCACTCTCTCTCCGGTCCATGGAAAAAACCTCTCTCCACGGAACCGGTCCCTGGTGCCCAAAAGGTTGGGGCCCACTGCACTAGACCAGTTGACCAGGAAGAGGAAACAACTTGAGACTCTGACAAAAAAAAAAATCTGATCCGACCAAGGCTTCCCGAGACCGTAATTAAGCACCTGCTTATTTAAAACGACTCTTGTTTTATTTCAACGCTGGGAATTATGTTCATTCCCAGCCTGTATGTATTGAGTCGTAAGAGTGCTATCTTGAAACCTTACTTTGTTCTGACTCTCAACCCAGTCTGGGTGAAAACAGATCTTCACCGATCTTTGCTGAGGCAAAGAGTAAAGGAGGTAACGGAGATAAAAGATGGATTTTGCTCCACTAGTCATTGCTGACTCTTAAGGGGACGCTGCTCACCTCCATTTCAAGGCCACTTAAGCCAGTGCTGTCCGAGGACCTTTGCGTGGTCAAGGGGCCAGCATGACATCACAGAGTGCTGTTAAAGAGTTCAAAGAATCTCTTGCCTTAAATTCCACCACAAGCCGGTTAATTTTAAGATCTCAATATTCCTTTCTTGAAATTTAACTCTGAATCGTGACATTCAGCTGGAACATAAACGAACAAACATGCAACTCACCTCTATGTAAAATTTTTAAGCTCCATAAATAAGTAAGACCTTTAACAACCTACAAATCAGGAAAAAAAGAAACGGGTCAATATATTTAATACATAGCATGACATAAAGATACGTATTTTCATTTTCTAGGCTGTTGGCCACACTGGAAAGTCAAAACAGTTTGGAAGAAGGCAAGAGAAAACGTCTTCTTTGGAATTTTTTCACCCTAATATTTTATCTCGCCTCCTTCCAAACTGTTTTGATTTGTCCACAAAGTTCAGCAGGAGTTGATCTTTAGACAAAGAAGCATTTCTCTTCTTCCCTCTTGGAACCTGGAAACCACCAGCTGTATCTTGCAACGAACTAAGGTATGAGAATAAATCTTTACTTATTAAAGAAAATGCCCACCACTTATAGACCTTAGGATGGAAAGCAACCAGTCTTATGTTTTCAGACTGGGTCTGCAAATATTTCATTGTTAGAGAGAGACAGAGACATAGGATGTTATTGGGGGAAACAGTGATACTACATAACAAAGAGGTAGCTAAGTGCCTTTGTTTTTTTACTGCACAATACTTTAGGAACGTGTCAGCTCACCTACGGCATGGAAGTAGCATTTCTTTTTTATTACAAAGAGTGACACAATTTGCATGAATTTGCAATGATGGATTTTTAACACTCAATGTTAAGAATGCCATCCAAGTAGAGAACAAAACCTCCACATGTAGCAATGCACAGACTCCTTGAGAGGTTGCATGTATCTGTTGAATGAATGGCTATAAAAAGCGTCCTGTTAACTAAATAATAGAGCGATTTTCATTTCTGTGTTTAAGACTGCATTGTAAGTACAAGTCCAAAGATCTCCCACAGCCTCTTATGCATCGATCAGATATCTCACTATTCATTTACACTAAACAAAAGGACATTTTCCAATCTGGGGCACCTATACACGAAGTATTAAGCATTCAGTCGTTAAAAAGAGATACTGGCAGAGAACAGCTTTTCACTAGATACTCCAGAAGCTATTGGAGGAACTCAGTATATGGTAGGCTAGATAACAATGACTTGACAGAGCCTTGACACAAGCAGTTGTTGTACCTGCCATCAACCACTCATTTTCTTGACAGTTTAAGGACACGTCTGAGCGGGGAGGGGGAGACAGAACCTACAACCAACATGAGCACTTCAAATATAGTGCAAGGTGTCTCTACATAAAAGACGGAAAAGAAAATAAATGGGTAAAATGGCAAGCAAAACCCAAGCCCATGTTAACTTAGGCAAGATACTGATGGGAGATGCTTGCAGCTGGCCCTCTCTGCTGTCTTCCCTCACTTGTAGCAAATACACAGAGAAAGCCTATCAAGACTTTTACTTATATTTTTGTGGTAGGGACTGTGATATAGTAGAATAGAGTAGAACAGAGTGGACTAGGGTAGGGTACGGTAAGGTAGGGTAGAGTAGAATAAGAATACCGATAAGAGAAGATAGTGGAACAGAGGAGAAGAAGAATAGTGTTACAGCCCTACTACGTGGGTAAATATTCTTAGACATAATACAGCACTGTGGGTCATTAGGTGTTCAGCAGCGCAATGGAACAAGGAAGAAAACCTGTCCTTGTGTCTGGTGGTTTTGGCATGCAATGCCCTGTAGCAGCATCCCAAAGGGAGGAGTTGGAACAGTTTTATGTCCAGAATATGAGGGGTTTGCACATATTTCCTCAGCCCTCTTTCTGACCCGTATAGTATACAGGTTCTCAATGGAAATCGGGCTGGTTGCAATTGTTTTTTTCCGCAGTTCTAACTATCTGTTGGAGGCTGAGCCTGTCCTGTTTGATAGCTGTACCAAACTGGACAATTATAGAAGTACAAATGACAGACTCTAAAGCAAGTAGAAATGAAGGACTCAAAGGCAACTGGAAAGGTTCTGAGAGTAAAATAAAGTAAATATTCCTGGATTCTCTGAGCATTCTCTACCCAGGTCTGTTTCCCAAAATCTCTCCCACCCATGTGCTGTCCACAGACGGGGGTTGGGGTGGGAGGAGAGGATTAAATTGTCCCACTCAGTCTCTGCCACCACAGCCACTGGTTGGTGTTTCTATCAGGTAGTCCCCGCCCTTATTCTGAGTTCATATTTTAAGATTTAGATATGTGAGAGCCATCCGTTTAAAGTCAATTTATCAAACAGCCAGCCAATTCATTGCACAGCCTTCGGCACACTAGGAATTCTTTGCCTATAAAACATTTAAAAGACGCCACCTGAAATTCTATCTTGTCAGGGTGCACATGATCCCAAGAAGTAGAAAGTCTTTTTAGTCAAATGAAAGTTACAGGCGTAATTATTTAGTAAGTTGCAAATTATCCCAACAGGAAAATGAAACACTTTTCAGCTCGCTGAAACAGGCCACATGAAAATCCCCAGGCTCTCCCACACCACAAGAAACCACATTGGGCTCAAAAGTAAACCCATTTGGAATTGTTCCACAGGGAGCACATCTGATGAAAAGATGCTCTTTGCGCATGCATCTGAAGTGCAGAGGATGAAGCCGAGCTGTGAATTACAATGAAAGCAGACTAAATAGCTGTCTGCGTTAGATTAAAGGGTTTCAGTTGTCAGCTTGATGTATAATGAGTGTGGAAAACAGGAATTTAATTAAGTAGTGCATTATAGAATAACTCTGATATGCTTTAAACCACTTAAATTATCAAAGCCACCCTCCCATTTAGCCATTGTGCAGCAACCCCCTTCTCTCAACGGTCAACTGGGTGTTCGTTCTGTTGGCCTTTATTCAGCTTTCAAAGATTATGGTGTGTTCATTCCAATTTGGTCAATTCTGCTTAAGAACACCCTGCAGTGTGTGCAAAGGCACAATTAGGCAGAAACACGGCACTTTGCTCTCTTTACCCCAGAAATACAGAGAGTCTTGTGGCATCTTGAAGATGATTATAGTGTATGCCTCTCTAAATTCAAATACTTTCATTATTTGCTTTTATTCAAGGGAACCTTAATCCATGCTGTAATCAATGGGTTTACTTTCCAAGTATTATAAGAGTCTCTAATATCTCCCATTTTTCTTCCTTGTTTTTCCTTCCCCACTCCTGCCAATTGCTTCTACTACACCTGCACACTTCATTTGACAACTTTACGATTGTGATTAAGCAATTCCACATTTATTAAATGTTTCAAAAACGGATATACCCCAAGGTACTCACAGCTACAGCTATTCTTCCCAAGACGTGTTCTGGAATTTTTCTGTAGACATCTAAGGAGCCCCCTGCAGGGAGAACAAAGTATGATCAACTGAAGCTAAGCTGGTCTTTTCTAAAAATGTCATGCCGATCAGGGGTCGCCAAACGTGGCAACTTTAAGGCTTGCGAACCTCAACTCCCAAAATTCCCCAGCCAGCATGACCTAGATGACTGGGTGCATATTTTGTGATCCAACAAATTGGTGAGGAATCTGTGCCTGGTTTGCTCAATAAATTTATCCTGAGGTGAAAGTGCCAAGTAAAGAAATCTTTAAGGTTGTCATTACAAAAACCTAATATCCCTTAAACTGCCATTCAAACCTACAAGAAATACATAGGACCAAGAAAACAACTGAGAAGGAAAATCTGCAAAGCTATTAAGATGAAGGAACAGCAGTTTTGTCAGTAAATACAGATTGCATGCAATTGGGAAATATTAAACTACATATAAACCACCTTTTATTATCTGCCATATCTAAATTTTCAATAAAAGTTTGTGCACTCTTATTCAAGAAAACAGCACCAAGAAATAACTTTTGCTTACCTGATGAACTGAGCCTTGTGAACGTTATTCTTAAAATACCCTTTTTTAATAAATAAAAAAAACCCACGCTCTGTAGGATTTACAGTTCTAAGATATAGTAAACCAATATTCTTCAACCAATTCCATTTTTCCGACTCCTGTTTCTAAATTATGGTCCTTCACCAATAGCAATAGCAGTTAAGACTTATATACCGCTTCATAGTGCTTTACCGCCTTCACTGAGTGGTTTACAGTCAGCATATTGCCTCTAACAATCTGGGTCCTCGTTTTACCGACCTCAGAAGGATGGAAGGCTGAGTCAATGTTATAGTATATCACTTACCATCCATAAATTCAGTACAAAGGGAAATCCGGTTTTCTACAAAAAAAGCACCGTAAAATCCTATGATGTAGGATGAATCGCACTGTAAAAAGAAGAAATAACAGGTTAATTTTTTTTAAGAAAAACTGCATGCTAAACAGAATTGGAAAAAGAAGTGCTAGAAAAGCATTACCTTATAAAGGATTTCTAATTCGGACATAATCTGTTTCTGAAGTTCTAATGTAATATCTAAAGGAATCACCTGGAAATAAACATTAATATTAAATTATTTATTTCACTACAGAAAATCGGGCAGCACTCAGCAAGAAACATTATTGTACCATTTCTTTTTTTTTTTTTTTAATGTATCAGCTCCAATCTGCATCGAGGAAAAAAAAAATCTCAGCACAGCTTTTGTCCTCACTGTTACTGAAATCAACGCCATAGCCGTTGAGTTTCTCCATCTCAGCCACTTGGAAGATGGATGGACTTCCACTCCCAGAATTCCATGCATGCTGGCTGGGGAATTCTGGGAATTGACGTTTAAGCGGCAGAGGTTGAAATACACTGCAATAGCCCACCCAAAAGTGGAGACCAATCTAGATCAGTTATGCAATGTAACTAGACTTTTGGTACTTAAAATTACATCTCTTCTGAGTCAAGATTGAGTTTTGATCACTTCACGGAGACAACCCCGTAGCCACTTTCTGGGATTTGATTTCCCAGTTTAGTATTCCTCACAGACACCCATCCATGTATGGACCAGACTCACACCTGCTTAGCTGCCAATGCCACACAAAGATGCTGCCTTGTGCAAAAACCCACCCTAATTATCTACCACAGGGGATCCTTAGTGGGCAGCCCCCAAATAAATTTTATCCCTCCCTGGCGGCCCATTTTTAATATGGAAATACATCTCTACAGCTTAATCCCTTCAAAAAGAAAATACTGAGTTTATGTCTCCTCGGTGTAACTCGTATTTAATCTAAATATTTCATCTATCTCTGCATCCATTTCTTGTTTTCCACCTTTTTAGAAGTACTGCAAAAAAGGTACAACTGTTCATTTCTGGACACCCACCTGACTTTTTGAGCCTCTCCACGGCTACCCTCAGACCTCTAACAACATGATATACTCCACTTCACATATTATGATTATTTCTTCACAGGTTTGCATATCAGCGTTTCTCATCCTTGGCACTATTCAGATGTATGGACTTCCAACACCCAGACAGGCTGGGGAATTCTGGGAGTTGAAGTCCACATATCTGAAAGCTGCCAAGGTTGCAAAACATTGCTGTATTTGATTATTAATTCTAAAGTTTTTGATCATTTTATTTCATTCTAGGTATTTTATTTGTGTCTAAGGTCCTTGAAGTGTTTCTTTGTCTTCTGGATCTGTTTTTTTGGGGGGTGGGGGGGAGAGATATAAAATATTTCTGCCACAACTGCATTATTTTCCTTCTAGAAAAATTTCGGGCCATCCCTGGAGCAGCAGATTCATGCAGAAAGTTCCTATCTTCTCCAGAACATTCTGTATTCAGAATGAAATGTTTTGCCCCTCCATAACTACAGTTAGTCCTTGATCTAGGACCACAATCGAGCCCAACGTTTCTGCTACTAAATGAGACAGTTGTTAAGTGAATTTTGCCCGGTTTTATGACATTTCTTGCTATAGTTGTTATCACTGCAGTTGTTAAGCCAGTAATGTGGTTGTTAAGTGAATCTGGCTTCCCGCTGACTTTGCTTGTCAGAAGCTCACATGAACCTGGGACCCTGCAACTGTCATAAGTATGAACCAGTTGCCAAACATCTGACTGTTGGTCAGGTGACCATGGGGATGTTGCAAGGGTTGTGTGAAAAATGGTCATAAGTCACTTTTTTCATTGCTGTTGTAACTTGGAATGGTCATTAAATGAACCGTTGCAAGTCAAAGACTATCTGTATTTCTTAAATGTCTGTATTTTTAGGATAATACCTGGAAACTCTGATAATTAGACTAGGAAATATGACTGGGATCCATCCTCACGGTTTCCTGGTGTTTCCAGGTATTATTATCTAGTTCAATTATCAATGATCTAGTCTAATTGTCTCGTCTAATCAATTATCTAGTCTAGTTTCCAGTTATTTCCAAGTATTATTTGGCCTAAAAATACAGACATTTAAGTAATACAGGTAGTTTTCGATTTACAGTGGTTCATTTAGCTCTGAAGGTTCTCTGAATATGCTCAGGAACCCTTCTCCAATCCTGAGGTATACACTTCTCTCCCCCACATGTCATTCCCACCTGGCAAAAACAGGATCCAGGCCTACATTTCTTAGAATCTGGGTGGGAATTTCAGGATCCAATACACTTTGCGGATTCAGCACAGCCAACGCTCTGCTGCAGCTGGACTGCTAATGGAAATTTCTTTCAATCCCTTGTTTACATCCAGCTGATCTCCGAACCTACATTTTTAAAGTATTGATGTCTGTCTAAACAGAGGGAAAAAGTGCACAACCCATTTCTATCAAGAATTTGCTTTAGGGTTATTTATAAAAGCTGTAACTGTAATAGAAATGCTGCCAAGAAAACATTTAACACATTTCTCCAAATCAATAGTCATTTGCCAACAATATTCACTTACATTTTTTTTTCCTGGATGGAAAGCTTAAAACAAAGTAAACTGCTGGAACCGTTGTATCAACTTTGCTCCTTAGAGGAACAAGGAAAATTTAACTCTCTCCGGACGCTAAAAAAAGGCCATTTTGAACTTTAATGTTCCTTTTCACTTTAGTAAGCTCAGTTTTCCTCCAGACAAGCTTGACCACTGCAAAACCTTCATCTGGATATTGATCACAGAAGGCAAATTCACTATCAGCCAAGATAAGAAATTAAAACAAGAAAGCCTGAAAGCTGGTATATTGATTTTACGGGTAGATTGATTTTTAAGAACACGGCCCCATTTTGTATAAAATAGTGGGAGAGGGCTGCTTCCCCAGATTATATATTTACGTTGTATACGTCACGTTGTGCTGCACAGGCCGTGTGTGAAAAGTCTCTGTATTAAAAGGTGCAGATTAGATCAATATGCACAGATTATTAGTACTGTGCATTACAGGTACAGATCAGGTGAATAGCAGGAACTGCAACAGGGATCTTGGAGTCCTGGTGGTCAATCATTTAAACATCAGCCAACAGTGTGTGGCAGCTTCCAAAAAAGCCAGCGCATTCCCAGGCTGCATTAACAGAGAGGGATAGAATTAAGAACACATGAAGTATTAACACCGTTTTATAATGCTTTGGTAAGAGCACGCTAGGAATACTTTTGGTCACCATATCATAAAAAAAAGATGTGGAGATTCTAGAAAGAGTGCAGAGAAGAGCAAGAAAGAGGATTAGGGGACTGGAGGCTAAAATAGATGAAGAACGGTGGCTGCGTTCTCCCCTACGGTCTCATGACCACAGGTAAGGGACTTGGCAGCCAGATCACCTCTATGCCATTCCATAGCAAAAAACGCTCATAGGACTACATTGATTCATTTAATGGTTATGGCATTAACTGAATGATGCCGCATAAACTTAAGACTAGTGGGAAAGAAGTTATGACATCAGGTCCAATCACATCAATGTTATGACTGTCATGACTATGATGGAAATCCCAGGCTCCATTGCAGTCGTAAGTCAAGGACTACCTGTAGGAGGCAGTTGAAAAAAAAAGAGCAGAAATCCAAACTGCGGGTCTCAGATGATGTGGGTGACGCTTGCCTTTAGAAAGGAAGCAAATTCTTCAACGTTTCCCAGGGCTTGCTAAAAAAATACGTCTGTTTGGGATTATTCTGTTGGGAGGATTTGGGCTGGCTGGCTCTGGATGCCCGGGCACCCAGCAGACAATCTGAAGGTTGATTAAGAAATAGGAAATAGAAATAAATAAATTTGATTTTAATTACTCTCATTGGAGAAAGAGGTAATGGCTCCTATGAATTTGCATTAGGATTCAAGTCCTTATTTCGGTTTATTATTTTAATGATGTACAAGGGAATCAGAGGGAACAGAACCAGGGTTAGGGAAAAGAAGGCCCTTGTCTCCCAATTTAAAATGGCCTGACGCCATCCTCTCTCTTAAATAACCGCCAGGCCACAGAAAAGGAACTTCCCAAGCCGGAGAAAGGGTTAAACCCCACCAAAAATACCTGAGCCATTTTCTCTGCTACACCTCCAGGACAAACAAGGATGAGTTGTCAAGTTAAATACAAGCACTCAAGTGACGGAATTATAATTTACTTGGGTGCTCAATTTAAATTAGTGAGAGGCTATTAAAATATACAGTATAGCGATGGCAATTCATCACGGGCTGTCATGGATGACTTCATCTATTTGCCGGAGTTGCGTGTGTGCCACTAAAGGGAATGAGAGCAAAATCACAGGTCAAATTAAGCCGCAATTCCATTTTAATTCACTTATTTAATCTGCGGCAATATAATTGTCTTTTACAGTATGTACAACTCAGAGGAAATTTGGGAGTTCGATAGGCAGTATACAAATGATTAATCAAATGGACCATTTAAATGCGAGTTAAGAACAGAAGAAACTCCCAGGAACTGCAGCCGAGGAAACAGGCGCACTGCTCCCGATGCACAGAGTGGGCGGCTGGTGCTTCAGCGTTGCAGGGAAGCCTCTCTGGCATCTAACAAGTCTTGATGGGACGGAGGCCTTGGAGAAGATGGCCAGGACCTGGTCACAAACCCACTTTGGGGGTCCCCTCCATCCTGATTTCTTACACTTTTAACACAATTTGCATGGCATTTCTTTTTACTGCTGTCTCTAATGGAAATAATTTATTCCTTTGTCAAAGAGCTGGACCTAAGTATATGCAATAGGGAATATTTGCTGGCTGATGAATTCTGGGAGTTGAAGTCCGCAAAGTCTTTAAGTTGCCACGGTTGGAGACCCCTGCTTTAAAGGTGTCACGCTCCTGTTGGAATCTGATTCCGAGGGAGAGGTGGAACAGCTGACAGGGGGTGGGAGTGTGGCTCCGGTGGCTGTGGAGGAAACTGGGGAAGGGAACAGTCCAGTTGGGCATTCAGAGGAAGACCCAGGCCCATTCCCTCTTTATCCTAGGGCATCCTAGGAATGGATAAGGGAGCAACGTGAGTTTACAGGGTTTACAGGGGAGGAAAGGGCCCTGATCCCCTTCATTGGCTGCAGCTGGGAAAACTGTTTAAAAAGGCAAACTACGCACAGCAAAGTTGCTGGAAGCAATGCATGAAATTATTCTGGTTTGTCAAGTCTTAGTTGAGTTCTGGCACCCTCCCAACTGTGTGTGTTTCGTACATGCATGTGTGTGGGGGCACACTGCATTATGGGTGTCAGCACGCTATTGCATGCGCGCTTTCAGCACACCACAACAAAAAGGTTCGCCATCACTGGTCGACAAGTTCTGAGGGTTCCTTGACATGCTTTTTAGCTCTTTCTCTTTTCCATCTTTGTTGGTAGAGCAGACCTTCAGCCTGGTGGTATAGGATTCTGATCACTCCCATTTGGGGTTCCAGTGGGTGGTAAGATTCAAATACTGATCTCTGTGGGTGGGTTTTCTGTAAACTTCAGCATGAAGGCTTCTGTCTTCCTTAATGGGTACTGCCCAGTCCAGGGAGGCCAGACTATTTTCCTTAACAACTTTCTGCATGAATTTGATGTCTCTGTCCACAGAGTTGATGTGTTTGGTGAGGGCTTCCAATTCCTGTGTTTTAATCTTGACCCAAGTATCATCCACGTATCTACACCAGTGGGTGGGTGAGATTCCTGGGAAGGAGTCTAGGACTTTACTTTCTACCTCTTCCATGTAGAGATTGGCCACAATGGGGGACACAGGGCAAAGCCGTGTTTCTGTCTGTAGAAACCAAAGCAACTGGCTCAAATTTATGAGGGTGGGTGTGTTCTGGAGCCACCTCATCACCTTCGGCGACCTTCTGAGAAGCGAAATCAATGGGGAAGCCACATTCACTTAACAACTGTGCTACCAACTTAAAAAAACTGCAGTGCTTCACTAAAAATGTGTCAAGAAAGGTCATAAAATGGAACAAAATTCACTTAACAACTGTCTCGCTTAGCAAAGAAATGTTGTGGTTGTGTATGTAGGAAAAATATTTGGGGATGGTGAAAAATGGATCTTGAGAGGAAGCCGTTTTAGGAAGAATTTGTTGTTCTACCAGAACATCATGACGGAGGAGAAGAATTTGGCAGGGAATTATTTGTAATTCTCCAACAGAAAGAAGCTGGAGAGACGGGCATCAGCGCTGGAACAGACCTAAAAGCCTGAGCTCCCACTTTTTTTCTTAAGGCATTTAACAATCTTTAATTTTTGAATACAATCAAGAGGAAAGAGAAGAAACCACAATTTAACCATCTAAGATGAGAAAACTTATGGGGTATATGGAGACGCTGACCTCAGATAGTTAAATAATCACACAATCAAATTAAAAACTGCGCTGGAGGAAAGGCCCCCTTTCCCCCTTTGTAGAGAATCTGTAGTTGTTGTTTTTTGTTTAATGCTAATATAAAGCCACCATTGTCAGTTCTGCAATAGATTAAAAGTCTTCCCTGCCTTATTCCTCTCAGGACCAAGTTGTACCACCAAGAAAAAAAGAGAAGAGATTGCTTTGTACTTCCTCACTTATAAATCGTGCCCTTCGGTCCAGATGTGTGTTCATTGCAAAGATTGGCTTCATGTAATAGTCCTGGAAATAGAAGACTGAGGCAGGGGGAATCTTTTAAAGCAGATTTGTGAACAAACTTACCTTTACAGCTAGTATTTTCCCACTGGGGACATGGTTTGCTCTGCATCCAAAGAAGAAGACAGTCAGTTTTAAAGCAAAGAAAAACCATGGTCATATTTTAACTTTTACGCGATGCTTGTTAAAGTTTCTAGCTAATGGCATCCCTGAGCAATTGGAAGTTGTATGCTCGAGTGATATATGCAACAAGCCCAGTTCCAGTGAAGTGGGCAGTTCCGTACCCAAACAACAAACAACCACAAAAATCAATCCTGTGCAACGTGTGACTTATCAAGCTGAATAAAGCCTATCAGCCATGTAAACACACTCAGCTAACAACTCCTGGAGTCTCCCATTCCTGTTGTCTTTCCAGAACGAATAGCCCAGGGCAGACCTGACAAACCTCAGCACAGAAAGGGAGGACCGTCTTAAAGAATGATCCTTCCTAGGCTGGTTGTCTGTAAGAGGGACCTCTCTCAACATCAAAAAAATGCCCACAGAGCCAACCAGATGTTTCTCTGCTCTGAGTTGAATCATGGAATCCAAGTTGGAAGCGGCACTCAAGTCAAACTCCTTTCCTTTGGGCGGGGATCCAAATTAAAGCATGCCAGAGACACGCTGGTCCTGGGTCCACCTGCACACATCCACTGATCAGGAGGCCATGACTCCTTGGGTGCATCGCCAAACCGTTCTTGTGGTTGGGAAGTTTTCCGGCTACGGTTCACAGCAAAGCTGAAATTTGCTTTCCTGTAACTTAAAATAACTTTGGAAAATAAAATAACTTCACTCTGGAACAAGCCTTGGTCTCTCTTAAACCCTAAAACTCAAGTTCTGGTCTTCTCATGATCCCTCTTCCTCTTCTCTGAACCTGTCCCAGGTTCTCAGAATACACCTTAAAATGTGGTGCCCAGTACTCAAGTGCGTACAGTACTGCAAGGGTCTCCAACCTTGGCCACTTTAAGCCCGGCAGACTTGCAACTCCCAGAATTCTGGCTGGGGAATTCTGGGAGTTGAAGTCCTCCAAGCTTAAAGTGGCCAAGGTTGGAGACCCCTGCAGTACTCAACACGAGCCCCAGAAAAAGTAGAATAAAATGGAACGATTACTTCACACGGGGTAGAAACCACACACATCTCGTGATCTATTTAGGACTGGAATTTGACCATTTTTGCAGTTCGATTATCCTACTGGCTCCAGTCAGCTACCACCCAAAGCTTCTATAGAAAGGGATACCTTCTCCCACCCAGCTACAAGGAAGCTCTACACCCGACTTCTGCCCTTTCATGAATTTTTAAAAAGTGTCTTCCTCTAAAAAAAATATTGCGGAGGGGAAAAAAATAAATAACTGGTCTTCCCAAATGGAATTTTAGCATTAAAAATTAGCCGTTCTGTTAAGTAAATCCTTAAAAAACCCTGTAAGAAAAAATGATTTCAGAGCACAAAATGAACTTTCCTCCAGGGATTTCTGAGATGGTGGAGAGAGCAGAGCCGTTACATCAGAGCAGGTAAAATGAACCCTAAACTATGAACAGTGGCAAAACATTTTGACTTTCAGATCAGCCGAACGATAACCCAACAGGCTGCTGAGAGAGCGTGCTTAACGTCTGTTAGCTTAATATGTCCTGCACCGGGCAGTTTGGCAACTTAATTAGCTTGTCAAGAAAGGCGATCTCTTTGTCCCCCTCCTTCCCCTTCAAAGGGGAGGGGTGGCCTCTTGTTTTCCAGTGAATTAAAAGGAAAGACTTGATGATTTAATTATGATGCACGCCAAGTCATCCGTGGAAGTTTGGGTTAAATTTCCAGCCAAGAGCAGTACCTGGTTTGGTTTACAGAGCATCGACACTAGCAATTTAACATTTAATTATCATTGTGGAAGGGATCGCAGAGTGGATACGGTGCCCCTGGGGCGCAGAGCACCCCTGGATTCTGCAAGCACTCCAACTCACTGGAAAAGAAGGAAGCAAATGGGCTTATTCCAAGCCGCCACCACATCTACCGCTGTCTTGACCTTCTCTAGCGCATTATCCGTAAAGTGATTAATGGAGTCTGAATGGGAACTTTGGTTACTTGGAAAGAAAACTGGACACCTTAGCAAGGTTTTAATTAACAGCAAACCCTTCCAGGCTCGCTGCAGCTCGTGCAGTAATTACCTGTCCCAGTAAACTTGCTGGAAAACACGTTCAGCCCTAACTGAAGAACCAGAAGTTGATGTTGGCCGTTTAAATTACGAACGTGCTCTCATGGTTCAACTACCCACTCCAACCTAGAGCTGCCCAGAAGATTGTTCTGGTGCAGCAACCCCACATCACCGGCTTCCTGCATTGGCTTCAAGAACAGAACACAGAATAATAACAGTTGAAAGGGACCTTGGAGGTCTACTAGTCCAACCCCTGATTCATCAGGAGACCCTATACCACAGGTGTCAAACTTGTGGCGTCACGTTGCTGTCACGCGATGCTTTTCCCCGCTTCGTGGAGCTGGGGTGGGCCTGGCCTGCACGTGATGCATCCAGCCCGCAGGCCGCCATTTTGACACCGCTGCCCTATACCATTCCAGACAGGTGGCTGTCCTCTTTCTTCCTATGGAGACTTCTGATGAGCCAGCGATGGAAACATGTGCTCAGCTGCTTCCCCTGGTAAAGTTAGTAGGGACAAGAATTTCAGAGCCTGGAGCGGCATGACTGATACATAATTCTGGACGGTGTCTATACTTCCAATATTAATACAGCCCCTCCTTGAGGGAGATGGGCCTTCTAGAAGCATGAAATAATAGAATATAATAATCATATAATATAAATATATCCTTGGTGAATCTTCTGCAAGCCAACCACCAAGCTCATACGGCACCAAGGACTCCACAATTTGAGCTACAAATACTTTCTGTGTGCCCTGAGTTACAGGTATTTCCTTCGACTGGAATATTAATAAGATGGAAATATAATTTGTAACAACTACAGACTGATTGCTCCAAGAGTATAAGACTCATGAAAGGTAAACAGATCCTCCGAAGGAATCGAAAGCAGAGCTTCTTTGAAATTAGAAGGGCATCTTCCAGTCACTGTTCCTGTGAATCCCTTTCTTTCTTTCTTTCTTTCTTTCTTTCTTTCTTTCTTTCTTTCTTTCTTTCTTTCTTTCTTTCTTTCTTTCTTTCTCTTTCTTTCTTTCTTTCTTTCTTTCTTTCTTTCTTTCTTTCTTTCTTTCTTTCTTTCTTTCTTT